ATTTAATATAGTGGTAGATATGCTGGCTATTCTGATTGCTAGAGCAAAGGAAGCAGGTCAAGTAGAAGGGGTCTTACCTCACCTTGTCCAAGATGGCTTGTCCATCCTCCAATATGCGGATGACACAGTAATATTTATGAGCCATGATATTGAAAGAGCGAGAAACATGAAGTTAATTTTAAGTACTTTTGAGCAACTCTCAGGGCTTAAAATTAACTTTCACAAGAGTGAGATCTTTTGCTTTGGTAAGGCAAATGATCATACGGTGTTTTACTCGCAGCTGTTTGGATGTGGGGTGGGTAAGTTTCCTTTCCGTTACCTTGGTTTACCTATACACACTAGGAAGTTGAGTAATAAAGATTGGTAGACAATCGAAAACAGAATTGAGAAGAAGCTTAGTGGTTGGAAAGGCAAGTTGCTTTCGGTAGGAGGTCGCTTGGTTTTAATAAACTCAGTGCTCTCTAGCTTACCGATGTTTATGATGTCATTTTTCGAACTCCCAAAAGGAGTTTTGGAAAAGATTGACTGTTTAAGATCAAGATTCTACTGGCAAAATAACCAACAGAAGCGCAAATATAGGCTGGCTAAATGGGAAATTTTGTGCCAACAAAAAATCCAAGGTGGCTTAGGTATTCAAAATTTGGACTTACAAAACAGATGTCTGTTAAGTAAATGGCTTTTCAAATTGCTAAATGAGGATGGCATGTGGCAAGAATTATTGAGGAATAAATACATAAAAGATAAAACTCTAGGGAGTTGTACTAAAAAGCCAACTGGCTCTCATTTCTGGAAAGGCTCGATGAATATTAAAGATACTTTCATGGGTTTGGGTTCATTCAGAGTAAAAGACGGATCACAAACTCGTTTTTGGATTGATGCTTGGTCGGGTGACCAGCCACTAAAAGATAGATTTCCTGCGTTGTTCAATATTGTGACAAGAAAACAAGATTTGGTGGCAAGAGTACTTGCTTCAGTCCCACTTAACATTTCCTTTCGCCGTAATTTAGTGAGTAGGAATCTAAGGGACTGGCTTAGAATTGTTGCTTCTATACAAGATGTGAACTTATTGGGGAAAGAGACACATTTGTTTGGGCTTTACATTCATTAGGTACATTCTCGGTTAAATCTATGTATGCCAAGTTAATTAACAATGGTGTCAGAGTGTCACAAGATTTATGGCAGATCAAGATTCCTACAAGAATAAAGATATTCTTGTGGTACCTAAAAAGAGGTGTAATCCTAACCAAAGTAACCTTGCAAGACGTAACTGGAATGGTGACAAAAGTTGTTGCTTTTGTCACTCTACAGAGACTATTCACCACCTTTTTTTCGAATGTGCTTATGCCAAATTTCTGTGGCGCGCTGTACACTTATTATTTGGAATAGCACCTCCTGTCAACATAGACGATTTATTTGTTACTTGGTCTAAGATGGGTGGTGTTATTTATAACTCATTGTTATTAACGGCAGCAGCGGCTTTATGTTGGACAATTTGGTTAATAAGAAATGAAGTGGTTTTTGATAAATGCAGACCAAAACTTTTTTGCAGGTGCTCTTCAGGGGAACCCATTGGCTACGGCAGTGGGCAAGACTACAGTGGCGTGATGATCTACGGGACCAGCTGACCCTTGCTGGGCAGCATTTGGAGACTTCAGCCCTGCATTTCTTTAGTTCCAGTGGATGGTTATCTACTAGGTTTTTTTTTGTCTTTCTTAGTCAAGACTTCTCTTCATGTTTTGTTTCCCAAAGTCTAGATGTGAGCTTCTCAACCTTAAAAGTGGTGTGCTGTGAACTTTGTAATAATGAGCCTGATTTTACCTCGGTAGATGAAGCCGGATATAAACTATCCTTTATGTAAAAAAAAAGATGAAGACTATGATGGAGGATAAAAGGAGGAAAATCTGACCTCGGGCCGATAGAAGAACTGGAGCTCCGTTCAGGTGTGTGGAACGGGAAGGAAGCAGGAGTGACCAACCGTAGAAGAGAGCCGCCAGTAGGGATAGGAACGAGGAAGGTCAGAGCTCCCGAGTTCCGTCGCCCGGTCGCCGTCACGGCGAACTCGGTCGGCCAGTCTTTCTCCTAGTCCAATCTCGATCGATCGGCTCTTGGTCCCGAGCCCACAGACGTGAAGGGCCTAGTATAGAGTCTGATGGGCTTTGCTCCTTCGCATTGGGCCCCCACGTTTCTTTGAGGCGTGAACCTGGCTGATACAACTAATAATTGAACTTTTGCTCCAAAGAAAAACTACTAATTTAACTGTTGCTCAAAAAAACTAATAATTGAACTGACTTTTTCTAAAAAAATAATAACTGCATGTACTGACGAGTACCTAACAAGGATCCCCATGTATAATATGATAAAACATTCACCAAAATTCAAGATGGACAGGCCAGCACTCGGACGTCCATACCTACACTCGTGTCCGGATGCCCACACGTACGCGGGATTCCCTCGCACAAGCGGGACCACTCCACGCCGCTCTATTTCCTGCGCCACTCCTTTCACACGCGAATGCACCTTGGGGCCTACTTGCGTCGGCTCCACTTCGGGGACCGCCTGTGCCCACGTGAGTCCCACTCACCTGCCCCGCCTGTGGATGCTCTCCGCAGATGCGTCTACCCGGCCTCAGGCGCCCGCACGGTGACCATGGCGGTGCCCAGTAGCTGCAGTAGGCGGCTGCGGCAGGTGGGTTCCATTGCAACATATGCAACATCAGATCTACTTTTACAACATCCAGATGACAACACTTGCAACATATGTGCGAAAACAGCTAAAATACTTGCAACATACGTCTGAAACACCTGGAAAACACGTGTGTAGCCATTGCAAAATATATGCAACATCAGATGAAACACTTACAACATACATATGAAACACCCGAAACACTTGAAATATATGCTTGCAACATGCATGTATATGCAACATCCAGATCCGCTAATGCAACATTCAGATGAAACACTTGCAACATGCGTCTGAAAAATAGATGAAACATGTTGAACAGACACTTGCAACGTATGTGTATAGTCATTGCAACATGTGTAGCATCCCAATCTACTTTTTCAACACCGATATAAAACACTTGTAACATAACTCTGAAACATACGCCACACTTGAAACATACATTTGCAAGATGCGCTTCCAACGCAACATCTCGTTGTTGCTTGGGTGAATCCAAACAGGAGCGCGCAGCAATCTGGTGTGGTGGACGCACCCGCGGCAAGCAGGATGAGTCTAGGCGGGCGGCATGACGAACTAGCACGGTGGAGGCGGCCACGACAGACCGATGGAGGCACCCGCGACGGCGTGACAAGTCCGGGCGGTGCGGTGAAGCTCCCCATGGTCGAGCTCGATGAGCTAGGCCAGGCACGCCCCCACTGCATGTGGTACTTGAGGCGGGCATCGCTGATGCGGCCTGCTGCAGCATGGCTCTGCGCGCCATCATCATCCTCAACCACTCATCCCAGCTCCCGGATGCCGGGTCGTGCCCACGCGGAGAGAGAGGAGAGGGTTGGGGGCACCAGCAGAACCCCCAAATCAATGCCATCCCATCTCTATTGCCTGAAGAGGAAAACTTGATGCAGATTGAAGATGAGCTTCCTAATCAGCAAGCTTTTGCTCTCCCCCAACCCTTAGCTCGTGATCAAGAACTACCTGAAATCAATTGGGATGAAAAGATACCTCTTGACCAACTAGTTGGGGCTCATGACATTGAACTTCCGGAGAATTTAGATGTGGAGGAACCTATACAGAACCTTCCTGTACAGGAGCAGCAGATCCCTACCCAGAACCTGAACATTGGTATATGGTTGTTCTAGACTTGAGTACTATATATATTCAGCATGGACGACCAAACGCTGCATGAACTGGAAGTTTGTTGCAAATCTCTGCTCCGTGTATGCTTTCCCAGTCGCTGGCAAGTGGCAACAGATCTATTATGTCCGGTGCGCACATCCTCTGTGTCGTGGACTCGCGGTATCATGGATTGATTGATCCCATTCCGTCCCCTTATCTGTTAACGAGACTATACCTTTCCTCTGCCTATGAGCTAGCTAAAGATCCATCGTTATCCTTTCCAGCAATGGAGGCGGAATCAATGGTCATGTTAGGTTTCAGTTGAAATAGGAGATGCTACTAAACTAAGGAAAAGTAAATCAAAGACGAAGTGTGAATATCTTTTCTTAAGCTTTGTCATGAGAAGGTGGTGTGCTTTTACCTATTGAAAAGAAGAAAGTGTTCTTGAGTCGTTGAAGCTGTTTATGCAGGTTTTGGTTTGCATCGCCTTTTCCCTTGTGCTTGATAACTCTTCTTACAGGGATTCCGCGTTAGGCTGCGCCACTACTGACTGCTAGTATACGAGCTAGGACATCAGACGAGCTCACCCACTTGCCACCAATCCGTTCTTGCCGAGGGAGTGGCAGCTGCGTACAACGCTGACTGCTCCTCCGGCAGATTGTTCCGTGGCCCGTCCGATCCGTGGAGAACCAGCTGATTTTATTTACGTTTACGCTTGTTAAATATAAATAAATTTATAACTAAGCAATACATGATAAAATGAGTATGAATTTTTTACTATAGTTTAATCATACAATAATTAGCTCACCATAAAAATTTCATCACAATTAGACTATATAGAAACTGCAGCTATGAATTATTTCAGTTAATTATAGAAAAACATAGATCTAAAGACACACAAAAAAAACTTTGTATTAAAGCATATCATATTATATGTTCACTGTGTAGATCTACTCATGTAGAGTCTAACAAAATTGGATTTTCTATTTTATGATTTTTCTATGATTTACTATGATTTTTTAAAGTTTCAACCGAAATAAATAAAAAAAAGACAAAACCGCCTTCAAAACTGCTTATAGCAGGGCCAGGGAGGTAAGGTGAACGGTTTTAAAAGTTGAGAGAGGTGTTTTGCCCGGTTTTGAAGTTCAGGGAGGAAAAACGGACTTTCGCGAAATTTGAGGAAGGTAATGTGAACTTTTTATGTCTATCTACTCGAACGCTTCACCAATCATCACCACCAGGCTGTGATGCCACTGCCCGGCCCAACAAACTTGCTTCCATAGTTCCTGCAGGGCCGCAAGTATGCTCACCTGGATTGGGGTTGCCATGGGGTGGGAGGTGTGCAAGCAAAGCCTCAGTCTCCGTACATGGTTGTGTTTCAGAGACGAAGGGAACAGCAACTCTGGATCGGAGGACATACAATTTTTATTTCGCTGAGCATTGAGCATCAGATGCAGTGATTCTTCGACCTTTTCTCTCACATGGCAACGGTTACGTTGGTATTTGTTTAACAGGAAATTTTGGGCATCCTTCCCAACGTACACAAATACTAGGCGAAGAAGGCCACGGATTATTTCTGTCGGTACGACTGAATCCTGTGACAATATTGACATGGAAATGCTGGAGCAGTGTTATGGACCTTGATGTCCCAGCAAGAACCAGTCGGCAGTAGTGATAAGATTCACTCAATCCAGGGATCCCATGCATTGAGCTTGAGAATTTTCTGCGCTACTGAACTGAACTGGAATCTATTTAGATTGCTGCAACTGAAAGAGAGGAGCCATGTCAAGCTTGAGATTCTTTGACCCTCCTTAGAATTTGGAATGGAGGGAGTACAGAAGAATTGGGACTTACATATTATTGCTAAACTACATCCTCAAATATGACCTTGGAGATGTGATGTTCAATTGTTTCATGTGAGCAGAGGGCGACATAGTAGTAACTCTTGGTCACATGGAGAAATGTCTGCCGTGTTTCTCTGTTGATGGAGCTGCAGCTCTGGAAAACACATTGAGCCAGTTCTTGCATCTCGAATCCAACCATCCTGTCCAGATCATCAATCTTGTCCATGTTTTCTCCATTCTGGTTGATCACCCAACGTTTGATTCGGTAAGCTAATGCAATAATTATCAAACATCATACAGCACTACAAAGAGGATGCCTGGTTCCCAAATTGGATGATGGTTCCCAAATCAGATTCTAGGATGATACTTGGCTGAGCAGACATCCGCTTAAAATGGAATCCAATCCTTTTAATATTGTTCATCAAAAGCATGCTATGGTTGCATAGACTCTATGTATGGTTCCTCTTTATGTTACGTTTTGAAGGGCATTACTACTGGAGTGGAATAGCCTTGGAGTAAAGGTTGTGGACATTAATTTTTATGATGAAAGATGTACATTCTTTTGGCTTTTGAAAACTAATGGTTCATTCATAGTAAATTCCATGTATCGACATCTTGTCACAACAGGGATCAAAGTTGCTATGGATGTTTAGCGCGTGAGGAAGCCTCTAAAATAAATATATTTCTATGGTTCCTAAAACGGTGGGTAACTTTTACCAAGGATAAGTTAGCAAAGAAAAATTGGAACCGAAATATATCTTGTGCCTTTTCTATTGCAAGAACGAAACAATCCAACACTTGTTTTTTGACTACCTTTATGAGGGCGTGCGGTATTATTGTTTTAGGCTTAAGACTATCTTTGGATGTTATTGACCTTTTTCATAGATGGTACAAACAAGGATGTGGTGAAAAATTGGTTTACAAGGAATAAAGTTGATTTTGAAAAAGCTAACATAAACTTTTTACAAGTCTTGTTGATGGGAACGCACTCGTTATGACATTGGGTACAGCTATAGTTGTGTGATGATAACAAAGAAAATATTCACAGAATGTGCTGGGACCTAGAACTGGCAACTATACATTTCTTTCCTTCATTTGTTTAGCTAAATAATGTTAGAGTTGAGTTTTGTTTAGACATGTTTTATGTTAGTTTAATCTTCTGTAGTAAGTGATCTGATTCCCTTAGTTCTAAGGGGTGAAGCCAGATTCAATTTCTCTATAAAAAAACAAAGAGGATGCATGCATGTATGTAAATACTTTTGCGACGATGCATGCCCGTACCAGAGCAGGAGCTTCAGTCGCCAGTCTGCAGCAGATGGATCTGGTAAGCTGTTCGAGCTTCGAATAATCTGGTAGAAGCTTCATGTCCTGTTCGGTGGAGTGGTGCCTTCCAGAACAAATCTCGACTGTGCGAACTAGCAACATTGCTGTATCCGCTGCGCGTGGTCCTTCCCTCTCCGTTTTAGTCCATGCCATGAACCACTCCTTCCACTGTGACCATGCATCAAAACAGATTAATCCACTCTGTGATGTCGTATTTGAAGAGAGTATATATGGCTGAATGAGGGTCAATTTTTTACAGCTCCACGAAGACAGTCAGCGACAGAAGCGTTGCCGGACGCATGGATGTCAATAAGGTCACGAAGAGCATAGCCGAGGCTGCTAGTAACTCGTGAATTCTTCTTCCCTCTTCCACTGCACCCGCACAAGTTGCGACACCAGCGGTAAGCCGGTAACGCGGTGAAACCGATTTTGGAAACGCAATGAATTGAGCTAGGAGCCAATTAATAAGGCACAAGAGAGTGGCGACCGACCTTGCCGGGTTGTCATCGTCGCTGTTGACGAATTCATCGACGAGCCATTCGGCCGTCATCGTCCGATCGTCGTGAGTGTTGCTGCTCATCAGCAAGCACCCGGAGATGGCCTCGGCGAGCACCGCTGTGCGCGCCCATGCCAGGCGCTCTGCTGCTCGGCTCGGTTCGAAGTTGCTGGCCGCGGCCAGGAAGTAAGCTCTCAGCGCGCTCTGCCGAGTCACGCCGTACATTTCAAGATTGTTCTTGCCACACCACCTGCGTGTAATGACAACCTCAAATCAAATCCCATAACTGTACGTAACTCTGCACCTTTTGATTGTCAAGTCAAACATCTAGTCCTCAACAAGGAGAGGGGGAATTGTCCGTACTATACCTTTTCAGGCTGTGCCACTCTAGTCGGCATAGTCTCTGAAATTTGCTGAAATCAGCTTTCGCCACCTTGAGGTACATATCGTTGCTGAAGAGGTTCGTTCTGTAGGGGACAGCTGGGGGAGTTAAGCTAGTGCCTAGCAGCGTCGCCGCATATCATGGGTAATGCAACTAGATGTACATGCATTTTCTTTAATTATTTTCTTTGACATGTTGGTTGTGGTTTATGATGTATTCCTGGCATGTTGTTTTCCGTTTAGACCAAGTTGGCCTTGTGTAACCTGAGGGTGTAGTGGTATGGAGTTCGTTAGGTGATTTTAGTCATTGTTATGAAGTTGTTTTGTCATGTTTCTTTTTTTTTTTGTTCCAGTTCCCACTCGAAAAACTAGCCGGCACATGCCTTTGTTTTTCCTTCTTCTAATAAATTTTGCGACAAAGCTTTTGCCGACCTTTCTAAATAAAAGAGTATACCTATAGAGGACCTTCCCAATCCCCACGTCAGCGCTTCCACCGTATTGCTCAAGGTACATTCTCGTTTCAATGCGTGGCATACTAGCTTCCCAAGGGAAATCCAGACCATAGCCGACCTGGCAGGAAGGGATTCGACCAATTAAGTGTGTATAGTGCATAGATAGTTATAGTCATGCGTACGTCCGCCGTCCGCCGCGGCGCGTGCTGCCACCGCCGGCGCGCGCGGCTGTCCTCCCCTGCACGCGCCGGCCCCGTGCGCCCCTGCTCTTGCCGCCGGCTTGGAAGAAGGAGGAGGAAGCAGCAGTAAGAAGAAGAAGGAAGAAGAAGGAAGAAAAAAGAAGAGAAAGAAAGAAAAGGAAAAGGAAGAAAAGGAGAAGGAAAAAAGAGAAGAAAAAGGAAGAAGGAGGAGGAGAAGGGGAGAGGGGGAGGAAGCCGAGGTAGAGGGGAGGAGGAGGTGCCTCGGCCGTCTTCTCCGTGTGCCCGTCCCGCCGACGCCCCTACCGTCACCGAACCGCCTACGAGCGTGGGCAAGGTATATCCACCCTTTCTCCGTTTGTCGGCCTTCGTGCCGTTGTGATGTCGGCCTTCGTGCCGCTGTTCTTATCGGCCTTCGTGCCGTTTGTGATTGTCGGCCTTCGTGCCGTTGTTTTTTGTAGGTTTTGGAAACCTCCCCGTGCAAGGGAGGTGCTGCCGAAATTTTGAACTTATAGTGTCGTGTTTCTTCTTTTGCAGAGCAGGACCTGTCGGAGGTGACCCGGAGGTCCCCGATCGTTTTTGTCGGCGTCGCGGGTCTGCCTGCACTGCGTCGCCTCGCCACTGCGTCGACTCGCCACTGCCTCGCTAGCCTGACTTCACCGACACCCTAGGTATAAATCATCTCTTTTTCCGCTTGTCTGTCGTCGTAGATCGGTGTAGCCTAGTTAGGCGTCTCCCGTCCGAAAGAGATATCTTTGGAGGTATGCAGATCTTTGCATATCTGCGAGCATTTCTGTTTTGGATTGTCCACGTTTTTTGGACAGCCCGCGGATGCGTAGATGGGTTAGTTTCCATGGTCCGCTCCGGTCCGAGACGGTGTTTCGGCATCACCCCCTGTTGTTCTCCGGATACACACTCTCCCTTGCAGGACGTGTATCGGGAGAACAACAGGGAGGTGCTGCCGAAATTCCGTCTCGGATAGGAGCGGGGCATGGAAACTAACCTCATCTACGGATCCACGGGTGGGATTAGGACCTATCCTCACCTATTAGAGAGTAGGGACACCGCGTAGATGCAATTGATGGTGACTCATATGTGCTGATACGTCTGTTAAAGGATGGAGGACCGTGAGTGGATGTACACGCTCCGGAGAGACGAGCACGATTACGACTTGCTGTTTATAGTCAAGGTCGAAGAATTCTTACAGCATGCATTTGGTGAGAGTGCCGAAGGCCATTCTCTAGTGGTTTGTCCGTGCAGTGGTTGTGACAACAGAAGAAGGAAAGATAGGTTAATCATGGGTAAACATATTGTGAAGTTTGATTTACTCCGGGCTACCACCGTGGATCCACCATGGTGAAGCCGATCGTATCAGGGAGGAGGTGGTGAGACCACGGCTCGAGGCTTTCGATGATGATGCCGGGGTAGCAGACATGCTGGATGACACGCACCAAGCTCAGTTCGCTGAAGGACGTGACAAGGAGGAGATGGAGGCTGCCGCAGATGCCTTCTACCTGATGTTGGACTCGGCACAGAGACCCCTTCATGATCATACTAATGTTTCTTAGCTGGACGCCATTGGTCGCGTAATGGGGTTGAAGGCCGAGTTAAACCTAAGTCGAGAAGGCTTCGACAAGATGGTGGCCGTGTGGAGCGATATGCTACCGAAGACACACATTATGCCGAAGAACTTGTACGAGTTAGAGAAGCTTCTTCTTGCACTTAAGATGCCGTATGACAAGATACATGTGTGTCCGAAGGGGTGCGTCCTATTTAGGAAAGAACACGCGGATGCAAAGTACTGCCCGAAGTGTAAATCCTCCAGGTACGTGGAGGTAGACTCAGGCGATGGCCAGAAGAGGCAGCTTAAGATCCCCATGAGAGTCCTACGACACCTTCCGTTCCTGCCGAGGCTCCAACGGCTATTCATGACCGAGGAATCCATGCGAAATGATGACATGGCACAAAAACGGCACGATACAATCCTCGAAAAGATGGTACATCCATCCGATGCTTGATGCATGGAAGTATTTCAATTCACGGCATCCTCTCAAAGCGAGGGAGGCTCAGAATGTACGCGTGTCGCTACCGGCAACAGATGGGTTCAATCCATATGGCATGATGGCTGCACCATACACATGTTGACCCGTGTTCGCCATCCCCCCGAATCTCCCCCGGCGTCTCCTTTCAACGACATACCGTGTTCCTGTCGTTGATAATCCCTGGACACCCGGGGAGTAATATGGGTGTCTTCATGGAGCCTGTGATAGATGAGTTGATCGGTGCTTGGGTCAAAGGGGTGTGGACATACGACCGAGCTACGAAGACTAGCTTCAAAATGCACGTCTGGTACCACTACTCCCTGCACGACTTCCTGGCGTACGGGTTAATGTGCGCCTGGTGTGTTCAGGGGAAGTTCCCATGCCCAATATGCAAGGAAGAGGCGAGGGGACGTCTTCGCCCCCAGCGGCGAGAGCAGGCCCGGGTCGCCCTAGCACGGGGAGGGGGAGGGGGAGGGGGAGGGGCCGGGGTCGCCCCAGGAGGGACCCGCCTCCTCTCCTGGCTCTCGACCAGCCGGAGGACCCGTCTCCTACCCCGGAGGAGCACGTGGTGGCCACGGGCACGACCACAGACACTCCGTCGGGGGATGAGGGGACTCAGCAGACGGAGGATAGTTTTGCTTTCTCGGCTCCCTACCTGCGAGGTCCCACAAGCCTTCCTCCGATTCCGCTTCCTGACCGACGCCCACTGGTTTGTCCTATGGGAAGAAGGTAAGTAACTATAGATGTTATCACTAGTACTTCATATGATACGTTGAAAATCAAAAGAGAAACTGATAATTTTTCGTAATCACTTGTGCAGGGGCTGGCTAGTTCTGTCGGGTGCTCTTGACCCCCCACGCACCCCCGCTACCGTCCTGGGATGTCTGTGCAGGAAACACTTCCCCAGCCTTGTGGACTTGAAAGAGGGGAGGTGGGAGCCGGCTTGGGCGTGGGACAGGTACAAGCTCGGCTCGGATGACGAGCAGGACAACAAGCAGGAGCGGGTTTTGGCGAACTTTTGGGCAAGTGTCTCACAACATAGCTCAATACATCTCCTCTATTGCTGAAGTCTTTTATTGAAATAATGAACGGATACATCGTGTTTGTATGCAGAGGTACTTCAAGGCCGAAGAAGGTAGAGAGACCCTGGCGGATCAGACGGCACACAGAGCCTGTAAGAAGTACGTTGGCGACATGATTCACGAGGCGCGACTCTAGGCCCATGTCGACTACTACAGGTCCATCAAGAAAGAGCCCCTCAACAAAACCGGCGCAAGAAATGTGGCGCTGACCAAGGAGCAGTACCTTCAGGTAGGTGAATAATATTAATTCGTTTTGAGATTTAGTAGGTCCAGAATTGATCTTCCTATATGTCAAACACTTGATGATGTGTAGGTGCCGGCCTCGTGGTGCATGTCGCATAGATCGACATGGTCGAGGATCGTGGACAGGTACCTTGACTCGGCGTACATCGCAAAGCACGAGCAAGGCAAGCGGAAGCGGGCACTGAGGACCGCTCCAACTCACCACCAAGGCAGCCGCAACCTCCCCGCATTCAAGCGGGCACTTGTACGAGATGTCATTTATCTATTATAACGCTCAATTTTGCCTGATTTCTAATCATCTTGCCGTCTTTCTCGCAGGAGGTGGCACACCGTGATTGTTTGAACTAAAACTTTGTTGACCTTAATTTGACCAACAATATCTGTGTAAAACCATATTATTTATAATCAATGAAATTATATATTGTGAAACTATTTGTCATGACAAATCTACTAATATATACTAATCCTATATTAAAAATGTATCCTGTTTTCTAGCTTTTGGTGATCACAGATAAAAGGGCTTGCTTTAGCACAATCCTAAAATATCACTTATTTGTGACTAGCAGAGTACAATGAACCCTAAATGTTGTAGTGATATGTAGTTATCTTTCTTAGTAAATTCCACAAATTATCATAACGTCAAAACACCTCGTTGAAAGCTACAAAAATTAACAGCAGGTAAAAGAACAAAGGAAGTAGTTTCATGTAATCATTTTATTACTCTTCGTACCGCTTCCGTTAAACTTGCTGACCACTCTATCAAGGAACTCAAAGCACTTAGGGTCCCCAGTCTGCATTAGAGCATAAGCCGTGGGAGCAGGTGAAGACATGAAGGAGCCGTCTGGACACTGGAGCTTACATAGCCTTTTCCAGTCCAAACCTGGCATCCCTTCTATGCTTAGAAGGAAAGTTGTTGGTACAACATGGAGTGCATCTCTCGGAATCCTACAGAGATAAACAAGGAAATTATTATGTAACCAGCATAGTGATAAATTAATTTGCTGTAGATGGCACAAGCCATGTTGAGACCCATTTTGAAGATGTGTCATATGAATGTCTTCGTCAGTACTATCATTTGCAAAAAAAAATATATATTAGGTTTTCACGGATGTCATAAGAAATTCCACGTCATGAACATGGATTTCTAGAGTTGAGGTGGCTTAAGGATTTCAACCGTGTCATATTTCCATGTCCCAAATGATGAGGACATGACACTGATAATGAATATACCCATGAAAGTTAAAGACAAGGTGGGCAAAATATATATAGAGCCCTTTTTCAATTGAAATTGACCCATTCAGTGTTCAAATTACTAATATCTTTTTGAAAAATTCGGTTGGGGATGCGTCAAACCTTTTTATATCTTTTATTTAGATAAAGGAACTGTATGTCAACATGGAAGCGTGCGCTGAATATAGATGCATACATATAATCACCCTTTTCTTTCACACTCAATTAAGTGCTGTAAAATCATGATGTGCTAGTCAACATTTAGATAGCCATATAGCTAGCCTCTCCTTGTGTGTGGAATTTGTATTTTGCGTTGGTTTTCCTTAAAGCATATTAGGATGTAATAATATAGAACTTTGTTATAATTAATAATTTGTTCATTCAAAAAATAAGAGGGAAGAAAAAATAATTGCATGCCCCTCGCCTTATCCCTTGAAAGAGTACGGTTAATTATTGACTTCTTTAAGCTGCCAAAGTTGGAATTACTAGGGAGTTAATGAGTTTCCCTAATTCCAAGAGGTTTCTAACAGAGGCATTTAATGAGTATGGCTTTAATAGAGGCATTATTGTAGGAACAATCTATAGCTCACCTAAATACATGTGTTCATGTGCAAAATGACATTAAGAAAAGAACAAAGATTTACTTAGTGAACTTGAGTTCTCTTTTGGCATATATTGCTTCCAACGTGGGGTCATCAAGCGGTATGTTCACACCTAGGTTCTTGGCCTTCTCCAGCAACATAGGGAAGATAATCTCAAAGCCACATAGCGTCCAATTATCATCATCGTTGGCTAACCTCCACATATTTTCAGAGATGAATGACAAACCTACAACAAGTCAAATTCATGCCATCAAGATGCAGAAGGATGTTCACTATAAAGAATCCAAGATCGCTTATTACTTAATGTAATCGTGTTGAGTTTACTTAGTTAATTGATTATGTTTATTAATCTGTACATTTGACAGTGATAAGCTTGTTAACAACCCCAAGACTGTGATATCATACAACTAACTCCCTTGTTTCAAAATATAAGACGCCCACACATTTCGACATTCATTAAGAATATAAGTGTTATATGATGCCATTCATCACACAAAAAATGTTTTACATTCCCTCCGTATTTTATTAGATATCGTATTAGCTTTGTCCTAAATCAAACATTTGTATTTTTGACCATTGGTTTCAAAAAAATTATACACATTCATGTTATAAAATTTATGTTTTTAGATTCACTATGAGAAATACTATCATAATATATAATTCATATGTTGTGAAACTATAAGAATTTTTTTAAATAGTTGGTCTAAGATAATAATGTTTAAATTAGGACAATGCTAATATGACATATAAAAAAGAACGGAGGGAGTATGATATGCAGAAAGTATGATATTGTTGGATCCTTATTGAAAAACATGCTTTGAAAAAGAAAACGTTAAACATTTTTGTGCCATTTAAGCAATGCATTGTTGATCTATTTGGTGTTTTAAATTAGGTGCCCGAATGTATTATATATAGTCGGTGTGCAGAGAGTGCCTTTCTTGCATGCATCGTCGTGGACTTTCCATGATTTCAGTGCGATGATGCAGGCAAGGGTATTGATAATCCGGTCTTGGACAAGGAAGAAGTCATCACCCCATGATCCATCTAGCAGCTGATTCCGAGCAATCCAATCAATGCACGAGGGGAACTGCGGTGTGTTATCTCCATTCAAGCTCTTCACAAGCGCAACCCATGCTGTGTCATATGCTGAAATGCTGATCTCGCCGTCGCCCATTGATCGAAGGGCTGTTCCGATTGCATCAATCATTTCGGGCATGCCACTTTGTTCATCCTTTAGAAAGATTCCAAACATGTTGATAGTTCAGTTAGGCATTCAAATATATATGTCAGAGTGGTGTTTTTCCACGTTGCTGCATATAGGTACGTACTTTGAAAAAATAATTATACTCCCTGATTCCAAAACATAACAGGCACTTTAACCCTCCAGAAGTGAGATAATTATGGGCTAAAAGTTCTCCTCCAACTTTTATGCTGAAACATAGTTACACAATTTTTTTGAGAGTTACAAACATAGTTACACAATTATAATCACAACAAACCACATATAGATAAATGTGAACCAAAAAGACCATATCCTTATATTATTAGATTAATTGTTGGTCAAAAGCTCCTTTTGAATGAATAGACAGGTCTTATATTTCCGAGAACTGGGAGTAATATACTCCCGTCGTCTCAAAATAGATGACCTTAATTTTATAGCATTCAAATTTTGTCCCAAGATATTTGATATTTTCACTTCCCAATGCACCTTTCTCTTTTTCCAATACATCTTTAATTTCTCTTTTCCCTACTACATCTCTATCTCTATTTCTTAAGTGGCATTTTGGTTTTTTGGCTTCAGCGTTAGTTTCTGTGAGAGATTCTAAAATGTCAACTAATGTGGGACGGATGGAGTATGTTCACCTTGTGTCGTATGTCAGGGACAAGTACATCACGATTAATAACTGATTTCAATGCTTCAACCTTTATGGGCTTCATGAGGCAACCTATAATAATAAGACATGGTAAAAAAAAAGTGTGAATTGTTTTAAAAGGAAGCATGGTTTCGAGTGACATATTGTCTGACCTCTCCACTCAAACGATGTACTCAGCTAGTTACACACAGCAAAACAAAAAATAAGGTGAAAAAGAAACAAGAATGAGACCCATTATGCCTTAAGAATCATAGACTCAACATGCAACTCAAACTGCCTAACAATCCAGGATCCAACTACAAAGAAAGCTTGACGTGGTTTGCAGCTCTTCTCACGTACCACTACCACAAAAAAGATTTTAGGAGACAGGGCCCACTACCTCAATCATTTACAAAGACGGGCATCCCAAGGACATTAGGACGCCTGTCTCATAAATCGATGTTCAGAGGTGGACATCTTAAGATGCTTGTCTCTGAAAATCACTATTAGCAGAGGCGGCCATTCTGAGGACATCTTAAGATCCTCATCTCTGAAAATCACTATTAAGAGCGGCTATTCTATGGGTCTCTAAAAATCGATTAATAGATAAGTCGGACATCTTAAGAGACCTGTTTCTAGAATTGCATCTAAAAATTGATTAATAGAGACGGACATCTTGAGAGTCCTTTCTCTAAAAATAGTTGCATCAAAAACTAATTCATAATTTGTAGCCATCCATGCGATCTACAACTTTGTGGTTGAGATGTTTCTAATTTAAAATTATTTAGAGTCCCAAAATATTTTTTTAAGTCCACTGGTTTTGAAATTTAAAATTATCAAACAACCTTGACATATGGTCTATGGGAAAGTTGTAGTTATCAATACAATCTACCACTTTATAGTTGAAAAGTTATTTATTAAAATTGTTTAGAGTCCCAAATATGTATTTTAAGTCTATAGAGAGGACGAAGAAGGAAAATAGAGTTGACATGCAGGCTCTACATGTCAGCATACCACATCAGCATATGGGCATGGGCCTAGACACATTTGTACGAGTTCTAAGATGAGAACATAGGTTGAGGATCTAAACAGATTATTTGAGTTTAGGGACAGAGACTACACATTTGAACAAGTTTGGGGATCTAAACAAGCAATTTAAGAGTTTAGGGACCGAGATGATATAATAGAACAAGTTTGAGGGCCTGAACAAATAACCTATGAATCTATGATTTTAGGTACCAAGATGACATAGGCAAACAAATTTGACGACCCCAATGAACTTTACTCAAATAAAAAAATTAGTAAGCCAAGCGGTGTGATGTGATATTGAGGGAGGCCATCAGTAGTGATCCTTATAGAATAGTATAATTACTAGAATATCCCATATAGACTATTGTTGCATCTAGATGGTACTCCCACCATTCCAAATTATAAGGCATTTTGGCTTTCCTAGATACATAGCTTTTGCTATGCACTTAGATATACACTTACTACACTAGATTTTATAATCACTGCCCCGTGGGAACCCCTATCACATCTGAAAATATGTGTTTCTCAGGTTTCAAGCTCGAGACCTCAACGTTAACATCCCCTCAGGCGCACATACCAACTGAGCTACGCAACACATGCGACCATACAGTTGGTGCTGTTCATTTAACTACACAATTTTAAACCCTATATTGTATATTTGACACTTCAAATTATCTCAAATAAAAATGTTGTTAACTGTAAAGTTGTAGATTTCGTCGAGTGCTACAACTTTGATGTTGACTTCATCTCCATTTGACATAGTTAATCATATCAAATCTCATCTGAGAATTTATATTGCATATTTTGACCTGTAAGCCATCTCAGATCAAAAAGTTATCAACTATAAAGTTTTAGATCTCTTTAAACTTTACCATTTTGATATAAAGTTTATCTTAATCGGATGTCATACAAAAAGCTGTGTTTTTTTTTGCAAAACAAGCTATCACTGCCGTTTCGTGGCTCTAACCTGTTGGTTGAAGCCACGAACCGGCAGTGATGTATATCACTGCCGACTCCACCATAACCAGCAGTGATTGTGTGTTCTACTGACCATGTCTAGACACATAGCAACAACAATGTATCTGAAAAAGCTAAAACGTTTTGTAATTTGAAATCGAGGGATATTAGTAGTTTGAGCTTGATACCCAATGTTTAGGAAGTGCAGGGTTTTAGATTTCCTCAAAATGGAGAATACATACAAGAATTTCTTGATTTCTCAAAGTGACAACAAATTACATGACATGACTAGTTGGTATGTACTCCCTCCGTTCCAAATTTTTAGTCATCCTAGATATACATAGTAAATATTCATACATATTATATATCTAGAAAAGTTACAACGGCTTACAATTTAGAACATAGAAACTAGTTATATATCATGGTATTCGACTATATATACTCTACCATGCACCACTTGACAGAGCAAGTAGACGAGAATTAAACATCCATATAGAGAAGCTAATTAATGAGTGGACAACTAATGGCCGGCATGGCATGCATCTTTGTTTCTATAATAATTGGTCGATCACACACCTGGTCGTGGACTTGGAGCATTTAGGTGCCTGACCCTGAAGGTCAGAGGCCTTGGCTCAGCCACCAGCCGGAGAAAATCGACGTGTGGGTGTGCAGCAATGGACGATGTCCACTGCCTCATGGGGATCATGCTTTTCGGCCTCCGTCCCGATCTCACCTAGCTTGATCCTGGGAAATTAAGTTGGTGAATGCTCACCATCCACCCAACGTATTAATAGATAAACGCTGGTGGCTGTTAACCAATTTTTTATTGCATACGCCCCATGTTATTGTACCAGTCCACTTCTTAATGGTATTACATAAACAAAAGTAAACACTACTACATAAACCATCTTTAGGGGCGGCTACTAGGTTTCGGCATGCCTTTACAAATTATTGATTTCTAGAGACACATAGATAAAGGCAAGCAGAACATGTGTCTCTGAAAACCTATTTTAGATGCTTTCTGTAGTAGAGAAAATAAAATAATTAAAACACAAATAAAATAATTAAAACACAAACATCACATGATGACAGTCAAGAGCATGGCTGCTCTCCGAGATCAAGCCTCATGAGTATATATGTTCTGGCACTACCAGAAAATAGAATATCTTTGGGGGCCAGCAGTTTCTTTGAGGGGCGAAATTGAACCCCTGACGATTTATCATTACCTTGGGGGTTGTATGAAACCATCAAGAAAATACATATTGTTGAGTGCAACCGCCAAAGTAATTCCATATTTTTGAGTGCTACCAAAATGCTTATTCATCGGTAATCATGAAAATATATGTCCTTGGGGTATTGCATTTTCTTGCGTTGTTAAAAAATCAGACCTCATCTTTGTTTCCTTGGCAACCAAACCCCAAGGAAGTTTTTAATCCTTTTATTGATATATAATATGTATTAATTGATGCTTAAGTTTTTAGTTATATTATAAGGTGCCTCTATTTTAAATTTGGTTCTAGTAGTAGACACAAAAATCTCGAGACCGGCACTGACGGAGATCATGAGAAACCACCCAAATTGCCTACTAGGTCATTGCACTCTGATCTCTCTGGAGCAGGACAAAGACGGTGATGATCTCGACGAAAATGACCACAGTACAACAACCCCCATTGTCGACTTCAGATTCTTCTTTCTCACCTCTCACGAGACAAGGACTTCTCACCTCTCACGAGACAAGGACCACAATCTATCGGATGATAGCAACAACGGCGGCATGTTTGAAAGACTTGATGGCGCCTCTCTCGTAATTAATGGCGTGTACGGTACCTATAAGCTAGAAGGATTGGGAAAGCTTTCCAGCTTGATGCACTCGATGGGTGTTGTTAACGTCAGCACGAGCGCGGGTCCACAGGCGATGAGCGAGGGCGTTCTGGATGAGCTCGACCGAGAACCTTACCCTGCTGCACCTGCACAGCACAAGATCGGAGTGTCCGGCATCAACCGGCCGGAACAACAGCTAGCCACAGGTTTTTTTTTGTGCCATGTCGGATCTCCCTCGTCATCTGAAATCCTCGTCATTGCAGGGGCAGCTCGATGAGGACGGCAGTCAGGCTGCTGAGTGCTTCCATTCCATCTCCATCTCCGACAAAACTAGGGAGAACCTGGCGAGCCTCAAGTTGTAATGTACGTACGTTGGCAGTTTGGACGGGCCAGAGAGCTTCGGAATCTCAGAAAATTGAGTACATCAAGATGTAATGTATGCACCCACGTAAAGAAAAAGTTTAGCTGGCTAATTGCTAGAGCTAAACTTTAGCCAACTAAACTTTACCCGGGGGTGTTTCAGGGTTTGGATAATCTAGCTAATTGAAGACCTTAGATCATGCTACCCCTCCTTGAGGCCTGTTTGGGGGGAGGAACTCACGGGCTACTCTTCTTCGTCCCAAGTCCCGACCGCGCAGGAGGAGGAGGTCGTGGCCACGGCGGGTGCAGCCAAGTGGAGGAGGCGTGGCGAGGCAGGAGCAGCTAGGAGGATCATGCGCGGTGAGGCCTGCTGGGAGCCATGGCACACGCTGCTGTCGGGTGCTTATGGAGGTGTCGGCGACCTCGGTGCTTGCCGCTGGGTACTTGCGGAGGCCTGCTGGGGGCGTGTCCTGCTCGCGGGAGGAGGCGCGGTGCTTGCGGAGGTGCCAGCGCGTGGGAAGAAGCCGCATGCAATGGAGGTTGGGGTGGCAGCGGCAGACGGATTGCGACGAATGTGGACTGAGTGCTTGGATTCGGAAAATATGCGAGGGCAATTTGGTCATTAGCCACTTTTAGCTGCCATTAGCTAGGATGAAATAGCTAGAGGGATTGTGTACGTTTTGGCCTCTAGTTAAACTTTAGCTGGTCTTTTACCTGGACCATTTGGATCCCTAGCAGCTAATTAAATTTAGCCAGTTTTAGCTGGTTTATCAAAACAGACCCTCAGACCAACCCTTGGTACTGCTGGCTGGCAGCACGTATATATACTTATAGCTTCTGCTGGTTGGGGGCGTCGTGCCCGCATGAACTTTGAGCAGCCGCGAGGAGGAACTCATGGAGCACGACATTCTGGTGGGTTTTCTTTGGCAATTCAATTCCCTGCATGTTGCCTTCTTATTCTTTGTTCTTTCGTCAGTTGAGTTGAAGGACGATGATTCGATGTACGTACTAAACGCTTATTCTGCGAAACACAGCTGGGCACCACCACGAGGAGGAACGAGAAGCATGGGCAGTACGGAGGCTTCTGGCTAGCCGAGATCATGCAAAAGGCCATCGCTGCCGCTCGCACACGCATCAACTCCAACCCACCTGATATCTTGCTCGCCAGCTTGCCCAAATCCGGCACCACCTGGCTCAAGGCCCTTGCCTTCGCGACGCTCAACCGTGCCACGCACTCGCCGTCCGACGCCCAGCACCCGCTCAGGCACCACAACCCCCACGACTGCGTCGGCTTCCTGGAGATGATGGTGACCCAGGACGACGACGAGGCCCTGCTCCGTTCTCCACGGCCACGGCCTCTGCTGGTACAAACACACGTGCCCTACTCCCTGCTTCCCGATGCCATCACGGCAGAGGGCTCCAGGTGCCGGCTCGTGTACGTGTGCCGGGATCCCAAGGACATGCTGGTCTCCTTCTGGAACTTCTACCTCAAGGAGGCGGCGACGTTGGCCGCAGCCGGTTGCGGCGGCGGCTGGGTCGGGGAGTCGGCGGCGGCAGGCCTCACCAAATTCGAGGACGTCTTCGAGCTCTTCTGCGAGGGACGGTACCCCGGAGGCCCCTACTGGCGCAACGCCCTGGAGTTCTGGCACGAGAGCCAGAGGAGGCCCAACGAGGTGCTGTTCCTAAGGTACGAGGACATGCTGGGAGATCCGGTCGGTAATCTCAAGAAGCTAGCGGCGTTCATGGGGTGCGCGTTCTCCGAGGAGGAGGAGGAGGCTGGGGTGGTGGAGCAGATCGTGGAGCTCTGCAGCTTGGCGAGTCTCAAGAGCATGGACGTGAACAAGAATGGCAGTACGGTGCTGGCCTTCAGGAATGTGGCATACTTCAGGAAGGGGCAGGTCGGCGACTGGAAAAACTACATGACGCTGGATATGGCGGCGAGGCTGGATAAGATTGTTGAGGAGGCCACTCGAGGTTCTGGACTCACCTTTGCGGGCTTAGTCTCTCATAATTAATAAGATTTTTCAACTCGCCGGCGCTCTAAATAATTCCGTCATCGAAAGAATAAAGGTACCTTTTCCATGGACAGTGAGGCACCATGGCAGTATGATAAAAGTGTTAATGATGTGGTGTGTGTTTCGGTATCTGTGGTTGTACAAGAAAGTACGGATCACATATCTTGTTTTATAATGAAATTATGTTCTTCATTTCTGACACCGCCATCGTTCCTACTTTAATTTCTTAATTAATAATGGAGAGGCACATGGTTGGACCAGTGCTGATTATTTTTTTAAGGGAACAGGGACTTATATTAAATCTTGGCACATTACACCCCAAATTACACATGAAAAAAATCTGAAATTAAAAATACATAATATTCTATAAAGATTCTTGCATCGTCTTCTTCCCCAGTGGCTTCTCTCGGACACCAAAATCAAAGTGCAGTCCTTATGCCGATTCTAACGACTAACCCCAAAACATTGGACATGTCGCAAGGTCTAGTGCTTCGAACCAGTCCAAAACGCATCTAAATAGCTGAAGGAACATTGGCAGTTGCATCGTCAGGTACGACATAGGCTGCAGAATCGGAGAGCTCTAAATCCTCTACGCGACCATCGACGATGAGATCGATGACCCGGAGTCACAGTCCTCATAGGGGGCTCCCAGAAGCACTCCTCCCTTTGCAGATAAAGACCACAAATTGGCCGTCTGCCGATGAAATCAACGCCTACAAGGGCGATCTCATCGTAGCAATCACCGAATTCATCGCAAGAAAACACGATCCTGACCAAAAATCATTTGATTTCACTGGAAGATTTATTGGACTAAACCCTAATCAACTAGATAGAAAAACTGCGGGGAAAAATATGGGTCCTCTCCCCTTCTTGTCTCCGGCAGACACACCAGAGAGGAAGAAGGACAGGGGCCCTAGGTGCCCTATGGCGGCAGCGGCAGCAGAGCGAGGAGCGGTGACGGCGGTGGCGACTCTGTATGAGGCATACCTCTATTCGTCCATTGTAATGTTTGTGGACCAGTGCACATTTCATCTTGATAAAAGAATAAGGTCTCTCTTTTGGTGGAGCTCCTAGCAAAGAGACATTTTTATCTTTTCCCTCAGAATAAACTATGAGCTAGTGAAGCAGGGTTCAAAATTCACCAAAATTTACGAATGTTTGTAGTTTCAGGTTAATGCATGTGCTTTATTGCAAGTATTCAACTATAGCCTCACTCGTATTTTCTATTGTTTGTGTTTCTCACATGTAGTTTCAACTTTTAACAACTATATGTATGCTCAGGATGTCAAATTACACAAATAGCGACAAATTACAAAGTACAAAGACACAATTTTACATAGCGATTAACATCCATTACATTAATACATACATCTTAACATAGCACAGCGAAAGATGATTCTTAATCTTGTCTTGAAGCTCCATTCTCCATGGGACAGTTCACTGGGGAAATATACACACTCCCTCTACTCCTTATAAAACAAAACAAAGATCCACCTTTGGG